GTCCATTCTGGCCGTTGCCACCGTTGCCGCCATAGCCGCCATAGCTCGCTTTCTGTGTCGTGGTCGGAGCTTCTGTCGTTGTTGGTGCATAATAGTACACTCTTCCTAAAAACGATGGAATATTTGGAATGTTTTCAGATAGAATGTTACCATCTTTTTACTGTGACTAATGTCACAAAGCCGTCTGAATAACTGGCTGTAGAAATGAAAAATGAAACACGTTTTAGTTCCAAAAAGTAGACGAAAGTCCTTGAGTAATTAGGTAATGCACAATAAGAGTTTGAAGTTGAATACCCTGTATAACAGCTAGATGTGAGCACAGCGAGGGGGCGCCATTCACATTTACGCCCCAGTCTATGGTCTCTGTAGTTGCATGGCAAATTTAGCCCAGCATAATTGAAGAGTGATTTCTTGTCTTATGCTTGTCCATTTTCTGTGTGCATTTGACATAATTTCATTTTTGGTTGTTTCAAAGCATCGCTTAAACTCTCTTTAATTCAAAAACTCCTCCTACAAATTTTTTTCACTTCCTTTAACATTCTAGTACAAGTATGTGAAAACTTACCGTGGGTTATCCCAACAATGAAGCTGACTAAGACCAGTCCAAGTACGAACTTCATGATTCTGCACCCTGTAGAGCTCTCTGCGAGGAGACCAATATATGTCCTGAGACAATGGAAGCTCAATGTAGGCTGTGGCTATGACCCTCTCACGTTCGCGTTTTTGTATCTTTGGCCATATAGTCATTGATATGCATTAAGCACACTTGTAAACGCGTCCGTTTTACGACTTTCGAGCACTACATTAGAAGTTGTTGTCTGTGCTAAAACATTACAGCTTCAGTTAACGAGGTTATGTATAAAATAAATATTTAATAGCCTTCGGAGGGCTCTTTGATATGCTTATGGAAGAATGATAGAGAGTTACAGTGTGTAATCATCCTTCCTCCTGATATGCTTTGAATAATTGCGTCTGAGCATAGGTAACACTTCCCTCACAAGGTGTACACATTAAAAGCAGCACTCACATAAACAGAAATAAATTTCCAATTTATTAATTGTTATAATTTTCGACTCCTGGGAAATTTAATTCCATGGTAACTAATTTGGACCTCTAGTGACGTCAGTTAGACCAGTTCCGTTTTAAGTTGAAACGCTTTAGAGCGGGTCTTAATATTACAGTACAGCAATAATAGTTTATAGTTTTGTTCATTGCAGTGCTCGAAGGTTCTGCCATGTTTCCTGTCAGCTCGGACATGTTTTTGTCGCCGCAGTTCTCTGAGAAAGTTTGGGTCCCATCTATATGCTGTGAGAAATGGCACGTCAGTCTTCAACAATATCGAGAATACCAGGAATACGTCGAAAACCCAAGTCGTTTACTCTGAGCCTACCGGTACAAATATGTGACTAAAAATCATGAAATTATAGCTTTCTTATAACGTGTATTTTGTTGATAACTTTGATCCAGAAACCTTTATGTGTTGCCAATTTGGGATTAACTTGGGCCAATAAACAATTGACAGACAAAAAATTTAATGAAATAAATAAAAACAATAAAATAGAATAAATAAATTGAAAAATATTAAGATTAAGAAAAATATATCTTGATGGTTCATGAAAAAAAGATATTGCTGGATAAAAAAAGAAATAGCCAACTCGAGCACTGTCTCCAAGGTCATACTTATCCCCCATTAATAAACAATTTATTTTTACAACACTGAAAAGTGCACGGTGGGGACGTCGACGACAGGCACGGGTGGTGGCTATTTGTCCAGAAGAATCACGTCTACCATAAAAGAGTTGTGTATAGACCATCTGATCATGAACTAGGTGCAAAATAGTATTCATATTCTTATCTGGAGGAATTTTTCACACACTTTAAGGGGCGAGCCCGTTCACCTTGTGCGTCGCAGGTGATAAATAGCCACCAAAACAAACAAGACAAGACTGTCTCGGGGCAATCATAAAATATGACACGGCAAAGACATGAAACGGAAAACTACAAAAAAGAGATGGAGGCTGATACCAATGGCATAAATTGTGAAGCATTTTTACGACACTAGGATTAGGTTGAACCAAAAGTACAGAGGGCGTTCAAGAGTTATTTTAAACGATTAATTAATAAAGAAGGTAAGGCTTATATATATTTGTGCACAACGCAGCTTATGAAACACTAATCCAATGCTGAATTCCTATTGTTATGCAAGCCCTTCTTTACTTTGAACAATCCACAAAACAATTTATCTTAAAATCTTAGTTTAAATCGGAATCTTAGTTTACTAGTAACACTTAAATCTGCATATAAAGTGGTTAATGATATATCCTATTGCAGCTGATGGTTTATCTCCTCAAGTTTCATTCGACAGGGCTGAGACTGCCATTTAATGAAAAAGTCAAAAATATGGCGTCGGGTTTGGATAATTATGACTCCCAAAAGTCGGATTCCGCCGATAATCTCATCTCTGATTCTACCGCGGTGAGCAAGTTTCTACTTTTTGCACTGAAATAATGTGAATTTTCCGACCCATTCAGTGAAGTGACTACTTTCTATCAAATGTTTGACGTACGCCTTCGTCACTAATATCGCCTTATAAATATGCCTTCAGAGAATATTATGAAAAAACGATCTCTAGCACTAGTACTTGAACCTCAAGGCTTCAGCACCTTTTTTCTGTTCTGTTGTGAAAGCAGTGTTCCCTTCTTGTATTTTACGACATAATTGCGTGACATATCAGCCGTCGCTACCGTCATCAACTACTAGACATATAAAGATGGAAGACAGAGGGAAGCGGGGGGTACCATAACGTTGGTGATAATACTTCCTACGGCGGATTTTGCAGGCGTTTTCGATAATTGTCGTTAAGGCGTAAAGAGCCTTTTTGGTGAACGGATAGAGTTTAGCATCTCAAGACAACGTGCAACTTAAAACATGCCGTTTTCATCATTTAACCTTCGCTTGTTGGAAAACATAATGATAGATCGTTTTACAGGAGCGAGATTTGGTAAAAAATATCCTGCTCTAGACAACTTTTCTTTTTGCTGTTTAATTGGATTTAAGACGTTTTCTTATCATATCAATATTTTAGCTGTTAGTTTATTCTATTTCATCTATCTTGTGTCGTTAATTTACCCTTGTTAAGTCTACTGCAATTCTGTAATGGATTTTATTTTAAATAAATATATCATTTATTAAAACACTATCTGAAATACTTGAATAACAAGACAATAGATACAGTCGCAAGTCGCAACGTGTTTTAACAAAACAATCCGTCCTTGACTTCCTGTAATTCATTACCGGCATCAAGGTCTTTTAATTACCGAAGTAAAATTTACGAGTGAGCACGCAGCGTTGTAAAGGATTTGATATTCATACGAAATTGTAGGTAGTATTACATTTTAAACAAAAAGAAAGCTCAGAATACCCAATAAAAAGTAATTATAAACTGGAAACTCTACTCGTAAGGAATGCACGCAGAACAGAGACAAAAATGAACAGTAGGATAGGCTTATCACGTTCTGGTTATTTTTTTTTCACAAATGACCATTAGCTAAACAGCAACCTCTCATTACGATTATGTACAGTTTTATTGTTTTATGTTCACCCCTTACCAATTTCAAATATTTATAAATTATTGCATTTCAGGCAGATTATGATCATTATATTTTTATTACCATACCTTTGTCGCATTTAAGAGGTTCTTCCACATAAAAAAAGAAAGTAGTCGTGCTAAACAGGGAGACTAGCATTTTAAACATTTGTCCTTTTAAATGCTCTTCCCCAATAAAGTAAAATTACAAAGCTTTCTTTTTAAAACGAGTAAGTCTCCTGAAAGAATGTTAGACGTATGAAGCTAGTTGCTATAGATAAACTGCTCATGTCCCCCCTCTCCAATTATAACTGCAACATAGCCCAAGTCACCTGTAGTAACCCTACACCAAACAAAATGGCAACATCTGACCATGGACGTGCAACTCCCTGTTGTATTTCCATGATCTGACACATAACAATAACCATCTTTTTTTGGTTGTTTTTTTTTTCATGGAAACTTTCACTGACAAACTGATGCATACAAGTGATATAGAGATGTCTTATTTGGTGTCATTCTTTCTATAATATTTTTCTTCATTTTCAGTTTTACATTCACTTCCCCATTATGTCCATATTGAGACTAACAGAAAGAAAGGGGAAAGTCTGATTCCATGCTGGTGTTTACCTTATCTACAGATTTTCTTACCTTCCTGCATGTTAACAACCGCAAGTATATGATTATGTACTTTTTATTTAAATAACAGTTATCAAAATAAACAACCATTTGACTACATCTTCATGTTGCATTTTTTAACCACTTTCTTCCCACAGTCCATCAATAGATAGCGACAGTATAGTCTTCTCCCTTCAAATGCTGTTCACCTCTTTCAACCCACTATCACCTTGAAATTCAGAAAACAATAGCCATACTACTAGTAGGCTAGTTCATGAAACCTGAATAGTAATAAATAAATGCGTGGCATTTTTTGTTTCACAAGGTTTTCCTTTGTCCATACACTTTTCTGGCAGACTCTCTTCAAGCTGTCAACATGGAATGGACAATCCTATAATATTTTAAGGTCCACTTCTTAATATTATTATGCATTTCTTCCATGTTGCTCCAGATGTGGCTTATTTAAATAGTAATAAATAGACTGCCATCAGAATACATGTCAGTGCCACAGGGATGTGGAGTCTTGTTCCTATCACAGAGGCTGAAACAAAGAGAATATATAATCACCAAACTTCAAAACAATAAAATAAACTTTAAAAACTAATCTGTCTGCTTTTATGTTTTTATAGGTGAGCTATTAAATTTAACTGCTTTTTCATGTTGGATTAGACGTGTTGTTGGGATAATGATATTCAATCATTATGTTGTTAAAATAATGATGTAAATGTAATGAGCATAAAAATTAAGATGCCATTAAGAAAAAAGCTAATGACAATGAAACCTTCCCTTATGTACCAAACAGAAAAAAGAGAGCTTTGTTTTAAAGAAAACTACATACTTACCAAAAATAATCAACACTTTGAAAGTTATATCAAACTACCAGTTGATTATCTTCAAAATCCATTTTTTTAAATCATATATGATAATAATAAAACAGCATCTGAAGTATGTTCACACCTTAGCTTTCAGCTTGTGTTTTATAATTATCATAAAAGGTCCAACTACCAAGCTAATGAGCATTTTGCTCACTTTAACAAATATTCAGAAGAAAAATATGTACAGCTTTAAAATTGCAGGAATCTGTTGAAGAATTAAGTCACCTTTATAGAACACCCCCAGGAATCCTTTCTTCTCGGAGAGGAACCACTGCTTGATGCGAGGCACCCTCCTCATGTAGCCACACGTGCATATGACCAGGACGCTGAACACCAGTAAACCGTCAAAAGAATAGGCTGAAAATAAAAAAAAAACGTGCCATTACTGTACAGTGACCATAAGTTTAATTATTATACCATAAGCAAGGAGCAGGTAACCTTGTACAATCTGTGTGCCGGTAGTACATGTACTAGATACATTTAGATCTAGTACTTATCGGTTTAAAACGAACTGAAACAAAAAAGGTTCTTCCGGAACGAGTTTTGTATCTTATTATAGCACAAAATTGCTAACTTTATGAGCGGGTGTTTGTTTTTGAGGCGGGGGGGGGGGGGGGAGAAAACAACACTACAGTTCAGCTATCAGTATGACGCAAGTTGCGGCAAAACTACAGAAAATATTTACTAACCATTCGTCATCTTCACGCCTGCATATATTATAAAACACAGGATAAGACTTTTTGCATGATTTTAGATCTACCTCACAACACCTGACATAAACTCCAACATGGCGCGGAAGCGGAAATACGATGACTTGCGCAAAACAGGTGCGCGTTTCTTCATTTCCGGTCCATGTTGCATGAGACGAGGATTGTGCTTGAAATGTGTTGAAATAAATTTTGGCTTTCTCATAGATAGGATCATACGTTATCGAGACTTGTAACTGGTAAGAGAGGTGTGTATATGACTGATGAGTGACTGTGGGTGAATGGAGTTTAAAGTTTCATAAATGTTTTGCCGATTCTTTTTGGTGATTTTAAACATTTCATTGTACATGTACACTTGGTCTTGTCAGTGAAACTCTGCCGGCAGATCCAAGTAGAAATACAATTATTTACCACATTAAATTGTTGCGATCCTTATAAATTGTAATTTATATATATATATATATATGATATTAATATTTGTAATTTAAACAGATCAAAAACACTTTCATACAATGAACTGTTCTTGGAAATAAACAATTAAGCTAGGTTAAAATAAAATTAACATGACAGATGTCCCAGCAAAGTCGTTGATTCATACAATCTGTTTCATGAATTTGACGAAATTTAGGACTGTCAGCATCATGAGCAGTGCAGTGCCAGACAACATGAACTTCCCCAAGGAGGAAGAGGTCGTTCTTGAACTGTGGAAGAAGTTGGATGCATTTCAGACAACATTGAAGCAGTCGAAAAACAGGCCACGGTAAGTACGTGATCCATACACGACTGGCAATTCAGTCAATCTTGTTATCATTGTCAGTTCTGATTGCAGTTGAGCAGGTGCCCATATAACATATATGCCAATTTAATTGTACACCTTATGTAAAATCTGGAGGCTATATACTGTAGAGTGGTGCATGAGTAGATTTACAAAATTTTGGAAATTTTAAAAATATTGATTGAGATAAACTCTTCCCATCTGATTTTCAGCTACATGGTCAAGTTTTTTTCCCGGTTTAATACTGTGATGCCCTTTTTTACAGNTATTAATATTTGTAATTTAAACAGATCAAAAACACTTTCATACAATGAACTGTTCTTGGAAATAAACAATTAAGCTAGGTTAGAATAAAATTAACATGACAGATGTCCCAGCAAAGTCGTTGATTCATACAATCTGTTTCATGAATTTGACGAAATTTAGGACTGTCAGCATCATGAGCAGTGCAGTGCCAGACAACATGAACTTCCCCAAGGAGGAAGAGGTCGTTCTTGAACTGTGGAAGAAGTTGGATGCATTTCAGACAACATTGAAGCAGTCTAAAAACAGGCCACGGTAAGTACGTGATCCATACACGACTGGCAATTCAGTCAATCTTGTTATCATTGTCAGTTCTGATTGCAGTTGAGCAGGTGCCCATATAACATATATGCCAATTTAATTGTACACCTTATGTAAAATCTGGAGGCTATATAGTGTATAGTGGTGCATGAGTAGATTTACAAAATTTTGGAAATTTTAAAAATATTGATTGAGATAAACTCTTCCCATCTGATTTTCAGCTACATGGTCAAGTTTTTTTCCCGGTTTAATACTGTGATGCCCTTTTTTACAGGTACATGTTTTATGATGGGCCTCCCTTTGCCACAGGCTTGCCACATTATGGTCATATCTTAGCAGGAACCATAAAGGACATAGTTACGAGGTGGGCTCACCAGTCAGGTTACCATGTTGACAGGAGATTTGGTTGGGATTGCCATGGGTTACCAGTGGTAAGTAACAGTCTGGTTACCATGTCAACAGGAGATTTGGCTGGGATTGTCATAGGCTACCAGTACGAGTACCTTACTGGTTACCATGGGGACATGATCAGATGGTTTAGAAAAAACTTTTCAAATCATTTGGCAGACCTTAAATGAAATTACTCTACAGTCATGGAGTTTTAGCAGCTTTTTGAATTTCTCCTCAAGTCTAAATTTGCATGTCGCTGTTTATTCTAATAAATTGTCAATATGTTGAGCACGAGGGCTCTGTTTAGGTCACTTACATAATACTAAGCCCTTTCAAAAACCGTGCTAGATTCAAGACAAAGTCTTATTTCAAAATCTCTTAATGCAATAGCATGTTCAGGACTGAGATGTCTTTTTTGCTAAATATCAATCCATTGGGTTTCCCTACCACTATTTGCTATGGCTCACATATTTCTGCATGTATACCACCTGGATCTCTAACCTTGTTTATCACAGTTTTTGTTGTACTGTACTTGTAGGAGTATGAGATAGACAAGACCCTGGGGATCAAGGGCCCTGAAGATGTGGCGAAGATGGGGATTGCTGCCTACAATGCGGAGTGCAGGAAAATTGTGATGAGGTATTCCAAAGAATGGGAGGTGAGACTGAGAGGTTTGCTTTCATAATTACCATTTTATAATATATTGTTTTATAGACCTTGTTGTGTATTTTCCATTAGATTCATATGAGATGTAATATCTACAATCAGACCTTTTACTTTTCTCCATTCTGTAGTGCACATTTGTTTGATGTCAAGATATTTTACCTGTTTATTGGTTATATGCACACTGGAAACAGAAAACTTGAAAAATTTACGAAAATATTTGAGTAAAATGATGCTATTTGAGTGCTGCAGCTTCAGTTATCAACATTTCCAAATGAGAATATCTGCATCTTACTTGACAATTTTTTTATCAGGAAAATGTCACCAGACTAGGACGATGGATTGACTTCCGTAACGACTACAAGACGATGTACCCCTGGTTCATGGAGTCCATATGGTGGGTGTTCAAGCAGCTCTTTGAGAACGGGATGGTTTACAGAGGGGTCAAGGTCATGCCTTTCTCCACCTCCTGTAACACACCGCTGTCAAACTTTGAGGCTGGGCAGAACTATAAGGACGTCACTGATCCTGCTGGTAGGTACAGGTCAAAGGTTGTTCAAGGTGAAAGGTCATAGAGGCCAAAGGTTGTTCAAGGTCAGAAGTCAAAGGTAACATGACAACAGCATTCTAATGTGAAGTGATAAAACCATTGATGAGATTTTTGAGAATTTCGGTGGATTTCTGACTTTTTGGGAGCAATATATATATTTTTAGGTTGATGCAGGTTGATGCCCGCCTGGACCTCGCACCATATTTTCAGACTTTTTTAATAAATGACAGTTTTTCCTGTAATACTGAAGACTGTACAAATGTTTATGTTATAAAAATATTACTTTTTAAACTAGAAATACTGAAATTATTGTTTGGATGGTATGCCCTTCACACATTGATGTTAGACATTTACTCTTCATTGATGTAATATATTATTCAATATATTCCAGTGATATAGATATTTATTTTTAACATTCCAGTGATCATCTCGTTCCCCCTGGATGAAGACCCCAGTGTCAGTATGATAGGTTGGACCACCACCCCCTGGACACTGCCCAGTAACCTGTCCCTGTGTGTCAACCCAGAGCTGGACTATGTCAAGGTCAAAGGTCAGTGTGGACAGAAAATAGTGGGGTAGGGGGGGGAGAGAGAGAGGAGGGCAGATTTCTGCCGAAATGATGGGATTAAGTATTATCAATTAATTGTTTTAGTAAAATGGTATTGATAAGAGAAAAATGTGTCTAACTTAACAAACCTTGTATTTTCTTTGAGAAAAGTAGGGCACTGTTGAACAGTGTCCTCTCTGATATTTTATTAACCTTTTAATCCAATTTTGTCATCTTTGCAGACAATGAGACTGACAAGGTTTATATTATGATGGAGGCCAGACTGGATGCTCTCTTCAAGACACCTCAAGAGTACACCATTCTGGACAAGTATGTCTTGACCTTTATTTAAATAATTCTTAACATAGTCACAGTCATAGCTGTCATATATACTGACATACAATTTAAGTCTATGCATAAATTAAAAATGCTTGTGTATATTAAGTATTGATGTTTTGATGAACATGTTAATCTGATAACTGAAGAAAAAAAAGGAACTGTAAACCTAACTAACTGAAAATTAACTATACAATGAAAAGAAGTTTGACCAATATAATTGCCAAATACAATGCATTTACTTCAGCTGCAGTGTAAAAATATTTTACAATCTGATACAGTCTTTCAAGCTGTTATTCCAGGAAGAAATACAAATCTAAACAGGACACTGGTTACTGCTGTATGCATCTTGGTTTGCCAACTGTGAGGGGGGGGGGGGGGATAAAATATAAGAATAGAACTAGAACTTTGGAGATGTTTGAAACTAAATATTGTTAAATTAAATACATATCAATTTTTTTTTATTTTAGATTTAAAGGCATCACTCTTAAGGGGAAGAAATATGAACCGCTGTTCCCCTATTATAAGGAGGTAAGTTTAATATACTGCATCAGTCTGCATAGATCAGTAAACCAGCTGGTGGGACCTTGGATTCTAAGCTTTTTGTTAGAGCAGCCAAACTTCTTCAATCTGTCTTCTTACCGATTTTGTATCTTATGATGACAAAAAAATTAAAGAACAATCAAATTTTTTAAACTTTGAAATGGGCATTTATTCAAAAATATTAAAATTTTTAATCACATCTAGTTTTTGAGAAACATTTGTTTGTAGAAAAGTTTCATACAATGTTTCACAAATCTGTATTTAGAATCAACTGCTTACTAGACATCACATTATCAATCTTCTTTCAGAGAAAAGCAAGAAGAGCCTTCCAGGTCTTGTGTGATGGCTACGTAACCACAGAGAGCGGCACAGGGGTGGTCCACCAGGCACCTTACTTTGGAGAGGTGAGGGGGAGGTGGGAGGGGCTGAGATAATATACAGTTGTCTTGTGTTGTGCACAGTGTGCGATGTTAACAACTGGTCCTTCACCCACGGCTAGTAAAATTTTGTTTGGAGCAGTAGATTTTCCAGAATGGATTAAGTGGTCCAAAATGGCCTTTGGAATTTTTTAGAAGTTCTCAGAAAAGCTTTCCGTTTGTTTCAATGTTTTCTTCTCATATTTAACTGTTACGTGATGATTCTAACTTTTTACTTCAGTATAGAAACAAGAACTTGGAAAATAAAACAATAAAAATATGTCACAATTTGTTAAGAGATAGGTTTATATATACATGTTCCGTTTTGATTTGTTAGGATGATTACCGAGTATGCCTGGCAGCTGGGGTGATATCGCGAGATGATGATCTTATATGTGCAGTAGACGCCAGTGGCAGGTTTACTCTCCCTGTCACAGACTTCAATGGCCAGTATGTAAAGGTGAGGTCTTTTTCCTCTTTTTTCCTCTTAAATGGGGAGAACTATTCGTTTGCAGTGTATTCTTTGTTTGAACAACAGTGCAACTTTCTTCAGAAATTTTTTCTGCTTTGTGAAGGACTTGGCTGTGAAATTTACGTAAATGGTTGTGTCCTCTGCGCTTTTCTAAGAGGGAAAAATTGTTTTGTGTTTACAATTTGTTCACAAAAGGTAACAACTCAATAATGTTACATTAATTGGATCTGGTGAAGATTTCCAGAGTGCTTAAGTAAACCTTAGTTTATTCCTTTTTGCATTATATGTATTTATATATATATAATGAAAATTGAAAATCATTATTTTGAAATCTTCAGGATGCAGACAAAAATATAATCCGTTGGCTAAAAGAACATGGCCGCCTTGTCCATCAGGGGCAAATCAAGCATAGTTATCCATTTTGTTGGAGGTAGGTCAATTAGACTTAAGATAATTTGGTAATCAGGCCACTGACTATATAAGTATATGCTTTTATAAACGTGGTACTTTTACATTAACCATCCATAATGAACTTTCAAGCACCACACCTTAAAATCATCATTATTTCAGAATAAAACAAAGATGGATAAGAAACATTCTTTTTAAAAAAAAAAAAAAAACACTGTGAATATAAAATGAGCATAAAGGTTTAGATTCATGTTTAAATTTAAGTGAAATTGTTGATTTATCTTCAGCAGTAAACAAATCATGTCTGGTTTCAGGTCAGAGACCCCCCTGGTGTACAAGGCAGTCCCCAGTTGGTTTGTGAGAGTCCAGAGCATATCAGAGAAACTGCTCAAATGTAATGAAGACACTTACTGGTGAGTTTTTGTACAGTATAAATATCCTATTCAGGATTTTTATACCATGTCAAATTTTTTATTAAGTTAAAAGAAATTTTCTCCATTCATGAGTATTAGCTGTACACTTTGATTTAATGGTTTGTAGAATTTACAATTGAATTGTTTTATTGTGTGAATGTTTTGAATTGAAACAGCAATTTGTTTTTTAAGACCTTTGGAATATTCTTATATTCAATTTTAATGACTAGTAAATGGTTTAAATTTCATTAACTTCCTGCAACCAGCTGTTTAAAAAGAGTTGTGCATTAAAAAAAAGACCTGTTCCTATTTACTCTGTGAGCAGTTCAAAGTACACACTAAATGCCCTTTTTTCTTTTTTCCCAGGGTTCCAGAGTTCGTCAAAGAGAAGAGATTCGCCAATTGGTTGCGAGATGCACGTGATTGGGCGATCTCCAGGAACCGTTACTGGGGCACACCTATCCCACTGTGGATCAGTGACGACGGGGAGGAGGTGAGGACACTCACTCTTTCTTCTCTTCAAGTTGTATAGTCTAATAGATGCTTTTCTATACAATCAACTTAAAGTTTTATCTCTGACTTGAAGATTTGTAAATGCCGTTTGTACTGTTTTTTTTTTTTTTTTTTTTTTTTTTTTTTTTTTTTTTTTTTTACGACAGGAACCTTGAAATTTTTACTTGCAAATTTTTATGATATTTTTGACTTTTGAAAAAATATGGTGATTGCATTAACGACTTGCCTTCTTATGTTTTTAAAATGTAAAATTTTTTTATCAAATTATAAGATATCTTTTACGTCTAGGTTGTGTGTGTTGGTTCTATAGAAGAGCTGACCAAGCTTACTGGGGTGGAGTTGAAAGATTTACACAGGGAACAGTAAGTTGAATGTTGACAACTGAAATTTTAATGAAGTATAGATATTTGATTAATGATACTTTGACTTGTGCTCAGAATCAGTCAAGCTGATGACCGAAATCTAGTTAGGAAGTTTGCCCGTTTTAATTTTCTAAATCAGTTTGCCCATCTTCTAGTTTTAATTTTCTAAATCAGTATTTTCTTAAGACACAGTCTTTTATAAAACAGCAGTAAGTGTCATGGGAAATAAGACAATGTAATGAAACAAGCATTGCTAAAGTGATAAATTATTATGTAAAGAATAACAAAAAAAAAAAAAAAAAAAGCAACAAATTTTTGAAAAAAAAACTATTACAATTTCAAAGTACATAAACTGGTGCTCATGTCTAAATTTGTGAAGGTCTGTTTCTAGAGATACCAGTCATCTCCTCTATCCTTGATCATTTAGACACGGCATGGTTGCCATCTTTTATGATGTTTATTGCCTTCAGTGTGGACCCCCTTACCATCCCATCTCGCCGAGGCAAGGGCGTACTGCGCAGAGTTACAGAGGTGTTTGACTGTTGGTTTGAGAGTGGAAGCATGCCCTATGCACAGCAGCATTATCCTTTTGAGAAGAAAAAGGAATTTGAGGACTGTTTCCCAGCTGATTTTATTGCTGAGGGGATAGATCAGACCAGAGGATGGTGAGTGGCCAAACCACTGAAGGGGGCAGTGTAATGGGGTGGGGGGGGGAGGAGGGGGGGGGGATGTTGGTGATGAAACACAATGGCAGAATCCGCCCTGTCCTTATCAGTGGAAATGCAAGATTTGTACCACTGTAAGAGGTCTGAAGAGATATAACATATGTCATTTGTAAAGTTTGCTTCCTTGATATGCAGTGTCAGAGCTGTAATGATGGGGGCATGTTTTCTAAAAAGTACCAACCTATGTGTTAATGGCTGTGTAATGTTATTTGAAATAATATGGAGGAGGCAGAAAATTTCTCATTAACCTCTCCTTAAAAATATCCTGTTACGGGTGTGTTTGGGGGTAAAAAATGGTAGGATATTAAAACTTTGCATATAATATCAGATTAGCATATACTATGTAACATTTGAGAGAAATGGTTTAACACATATACCTATTTACATCATCTTCCAGGTTCTACACTCTCCTAGTGCTGAGCACATCTCTGTTTGGAAAGCCACCTTTCAAGAACCTGATTGCCAATGGGCTTGTCTTGGCTGCGTAAGTGGACTCTCTCTCTCCTTTCTCTCTTTCTCTCTCTCAACTCTTCACTTAATATTATATCAGTAAACATTACTCACTTAATATATTATTATACATTGTGTATGCAGAGCCTCTAGCAGATCCGTTTATTATGTTTTATCCAAATATTTGCAGAGATGGCCAGAAGATGAGTAAGAGTAAGAAGAACTATCCAGACCCCATGCTGGTGGTCAACAAATATGGAGCAGATGCACTGAGGTGAGATTAGTATATCTTTCTCCTATGGCTGATAGTGTGGTGTCTTTGATCTTTTAATTTAAATTTCTACTTAATAATATGCCTTAGTCTATGATATGTATGATATTTTTTGATCAAGTGGTTAGTCAGGGATGTCTTGCCTTTAAGGTGTGCCCGTCAATCTTTTTGGCAGTCATATACCATCAATTCATATGTTAGTTGATGTCATCTTCCAAAAGTTTCAAATATAGACTGTCTTATTATTTATTTCTATTAGGCCTAAACAGTAAGCCAAAAATTTGTAATATTTTGTGATGCACAGAACATCTGATGTTTCTTTAAATGCGCCACAATAAGAAAATTTGTAATGAGTGTTCAAGTTGTGTTGTCATCTTTTGCCAGATTGTATCTGATCAACTCACCAGTGGTGAGGGCAGAAAGCCTGCGCTTTAAGGAGGAGGGCGTCCGTGACATTTTGAAAGATGTTTTCCTCCCATGGTTTAATGCCTACAGGTTCTTAATGCAGAACGCTGAGAGATTGGAGAGGGTGAGTGTAAAAATCACACTAATTTTTTTCTTGAATTGACAGAAACGTCCAATTTATTTAACAGCCCTGATGGATTGGATACCTCCATTTCTCTTTAAAAAAGTTTTAAAAAGGAATTTATTGATAAGATTTGTAAACTTTGAGATAAGGGCTAAATAACACTTTCAGACTGTTACTTTTAGTAGCTAGTATAGAAAATCTGCTACTTCTAAAACTAAGACTATGGATAATTGTTCAGAAAATAGTGGAAGAAGTTTTAAGTACACAATCATGAAATATGTCTCCCCATAAACCACCCTAAGTCCTAATCAAGGAAAAGTACAACATACTATTCTTTGGCAAATTGAAATGTATAATTTGTTCAACATTGTCTCAAATTTACAATTCTAAAGAAAGCCTGCCTTAATCAATATAAATGCACTCTCCAACTCAAAGCCTAACATCAGGTATAACGAAGAATTGGAAATTAATGTAAAAATGTTATTTATATTTCTGTTGTAGGAAGAAGGTGTTCAGTTCCTGTATAATGAGAACAAGGTAGAGCTGTCCACAAACTACATGGATCACTGGATTCTCTCCTTCACTCAGTCACTTATTAAATATGTGAGGGATGAAATGGCAGGTGGGTTTATGTAGTGAAGTATCACTGAATGCTTAACATACATAGTTTAACAGAGATTTTTACTTATGGTCATGGACCAATGCATTATAGTATGTGAAGAATTTATTGAAAAAGCACTGTTCATAATGACACTGGTTTCCAACCACATATATGTATTCCATATATGCTATATTCCAGCCTATCATCTGTATACTGTTGTCCCAAAGCTGGTGAAGTTTGTGGAACAGCTGACCAACTGGTATGTCAGGATGAACAGGAAGAGGCTGAAGGTGAGACTCTGTTTCATCTTTTTCTGCTGGATGATGTAAAATTATAGGTATCCTAATAAGTCTAATTTCCCTTTCAATTCTTTGCTCAGCTAATCTGTGCACTTGGAATTGGATGTTTTTTAAACCATTACTTAAACATTTAATTTTTACCAGTGACTGGTCAGTCATTTAGACTTTCATGTCTTTCTGTACCGTTCAGAAGGAAAATGAATATAGACTTTTATATGAAGTTTTTTTTTCCTTTTTTTTCAATTTAAAGTTCTAAATTTGGAAAGATGAGTAGCTTTATATTGAAAGATAATTGACTTAAGGAAATTCTCAGATGTGTATAGTATGCCTTTAAGAAAAGGTGATCAAAACTTAAATGTTACACTGTATTAGTGTGGACTGTTATATTCTGTTGCCAGGGAGACACAGGACTTCAGGACTGTCACAAGGCCATAGAGACATTGTTTGGAGTGTTATATGCCATGGTGAAAGTCATGGTAAGTTTGATGACAGTGTCAACATATTAAGTCCATGTGATAAGGGGAGAGGGGATTCTGGTTATACTCAGAGGCTAGCTATATAAGCAGGATACAAGAAGCCTTGCTGTTTTGGAATGTTATTGTAGAGGCATATTTTAATGCATATTTTCTTTCTTCAGACCCAATTATTCCTGTTGAATTATTTTTCATTGTTGAACTTATAATGGTCATTTTCTGCTGTCACAAGCTCTACTTTTCCCACTGAAAAGTTTTTCACTGTTGAGCATTATATTTAAATGGACATTTTCTTTGCTGTCTCAGGCCCCCTTCATCCCGTTCCTGACCGAGCACATGTACCAGAGTCTGAAGAAGCTGATAGACCCAGAGGCAGTACAGGGCACGGATACTGACAGTGTCCATTACCTTATGTTACCTGTAGCCAGGTAAGCAGTACAGGACACTGACAGTGTCTATTACCTTATGTTACCTGTAGCCAGGTAAGCAGTACAGGATACTGACAGTGTCCATTACCTTATGTTACCTGTAGCCAGGTAAGCAGTACAGGACATTAACAGTGTCCATTACCTTATGTTACCTGTAGCCAGGTAAGCAGTACAAGATGAATAAATTCAGTTTATTTTGATTTATTATATTTCAATGAAATTTATGATTAAGACATATTTATCAGTACCTTTTAATTATTTTTATCTAAATGCTAGTAACACACTTATAATAAGCATATTTATTGTTATTATTTTTGGGAAAAATCGATGTCTATCTGTTTCTGTCCAAAACTCAGAGAGATGGAGGAGGGGCGTGGGGGGGGGGGGGCACCTGTTGTTATCAAAATAGAGACATTTTTGTTGTGGACACCCTTTACTTTTGCCATAGGCTTGACCACACTGAAATGTACTTTAACAGCCTGATATTTTCCCCAGAGAGTCTCTGATAGACACTAAGGTAGAAACGGCTGTTCAGAGGATGCAGACAGTGATAGAGCTTGGCCGCATCATCAGAGACAGAAAGACACTGCCTCTTAAGGTACACTCTCTGTAAAGTAGTCAGTTATGATGATGCCACTTAACAGAAATTTGATTTATTTGGAAAATTATTGTAGTTTCCTTGTTACTGTTTTAGCTGATATTCAATGTTTGCTATCATGTATTTTATCTGTTATTGGAGATATACAGAAATAAATAGATCAAATTAATGAACAAATGAATATTTAACAAGAAAGTAAATATGTGAATGAAGTATGAAATGTTTTATACAGTTTGGTTGTCATGGGATTATAGCTGTACAGTTTTTTGTCTGTGTTTCATGTTAGTACCCGCTGAAGGAGGTGGTGGTCATTCACAAAGATGACCACGTGTTAGAGGACGTGAGGTCACTCAAGCAGTACATTCTGGAGGTAAGTGCAAATATTGAAGATAAGTAGAATTTGTAGAAATATTTGGTGAAGTCTGTCATCCAAGATCTTTCTAGCACAACATCTGGGCACATGAAGTGATTGAAATTATTAAAAAAATAAAATGCAGTGTTTCCATCCTCATGTATTTTTGTGTGCTAAGTAAATTGCCATTAATTGGTTTCCAAAAATTGAAGATAAACTGTTTTGTCTTCAAGTATTAAAATAATGAATATCATTGAACCACTAGTTGGTGGTTCACACCTAGGAAAACCCAACACCTCTCTGATTCTCTAATTTGCATTTTATTTTAGGAACTCAATGTGAAAGAAGTCACAACCACCACAGACAAAGAAAAATATGGTGTCCACCTCAGGGCCGAGCCAGACCACAAGACTCTGGGAGCTCGCCTGAAGGGGGCATTCAAATCTGTCACCAAGAGCATCAAGGAACTGACTGATGCCCAGTTGCAGCAATTTTTGAAGATGGGCGAGATAGTTGTAGATGGACATACTCTGGCACATGAAGAATTGCGTATCATGTACACATTTGATGCAGAGAAAGATGGCACCCCGAGTCACTACGAGGCACACTCAGATAATGATGTAAGCCATTATTTACCCCAACCCCCTTTTATATGGTCACATTTTTTTTGATATGATGATGTGAATGTGTAATCAAGGTCTTGGGGCGCATTCCCATTGAAACTATCGGTCTGCATAGATCGATCCAACTTCGAAGGGACTCTTGCTGAATGCAATCAGTTAAACGGATTAACACGCCTTAATTACATTGATTTATGGGATTGAAAGATAAATGTGACCCAATTACTTCAAAATATTTTACAATAATCTGTTAGGCTTGAGAACTTTGCCTCTGTTTAAAACATAAAGAATTGACTAGTTGCCTTGGTTACAGATCCTGGTTCTGCTGGACATCAGTCCTGACCAGTCCATGCTGGACGAAGGAATAGCCAGGGAGGTCTGCAACCGCATCCAGAAACTGAGGAAAAAGGCAAGTATGAAATAGTGGTCACTTTTAACATAGAGTTGGGTAACTCTGCAAGCAGGTGTTGGATGGGAATCTCTACAAAAAAACAGTCTTGAGTATTTTAACTCTCTTTAATGTAATGGTTTATGTAATACAATAAAGTAACACAAATACAGGCAAGAATGAGAATGATCGCTTATAGACATTACAAAATAGAGCTTGTGAAATTAGAAAAAAATGAATAAAAAATAACACAAAGTACCAGACACACCAGGTGATATATCTTAGGTTAAGCTGACTTCACACATATGTCCTGTTTACATGCCTGAAAATATGGAAGGATTATATAAAATAAGAACCTTAAATTAATTTTTCTTGACAAAGGCCTTACTCAGTTGGTTTCATTTTCTAAATTTCTCCATCCTTCTTCCAGGCCAAGCTGGTGCCAGCAGACGACATCACAGTGTACTACAATGCAACCCCAGCACTTGAAGACATCATCAAGAACTTTACGGAATTTTTAGTCAGCACGCTGAAGAAACCCCTGTTGCCTTACCCCGTCATGGAGAATGCTCAGTTGATAATACAGGAGACAACGCAGGTAAAGAACATGTTGATTTCTGAAAAAAATTTTTATTGAGTAAGTATTGTTTGTTTTTAAATTGATAATGAAGTGACAATTAATAGGCACTGTTTACTACCTTCAATTTTAATAGCACATGTACTGTTTCATAAATAATGACCATTTTGCACTTTTGCAGGTGAAGAATGACACACTGAAGAATGAAACCCTTGAAATCTCCATTGTGAAAGGCAGCTCAGCAGGTGTGTGAGAAGTGGTGACAGTTATAGAGCAAGGATCCCTTGTAAAATGATTAATGCTAATTTAGATTGTCTTATATAAGTTCAGTATAAAAAGGCAAATTAATTTGAGACTTGCTCTGTGATTTATGATATTTCATAAATTTATGAGAATAGTTAAAAGCAGTGCTGCACATATGTCAGGGAATGGTACCCTTAACATGTGGTTCATTTGAATTTTTTGTTTTACTCTGTACAGTTTCATCTAAATGTTAAGAAATATTATTAAACAGCATAATATGGGTTTCCTTCAAATGCATATTAAAACATTTTTTTAAATCATTCTATCCTCTTGTAGGGGATGAAAGTGTACTGAGCAATGGTCCTGCCTGCAGCTATGTGGACATCGTTCTCAGTGACCATGGCAACAAGCAAGCTACAGTTCTGCTAGAAAACCCAAGGGGGCACCACCAGCTAACAACAGAGGAGCTCAAAGATAGGGTAGGGTCTGCTACACAGTTCAGGCGGCACAGGAGTTAATATATCGTACAGGAAACTGAAGAGTTTATCTTCAGTTGCATCAGAATATTCATTATTAAGGGGAACACAGTGTAATTTTTCTTTAGATACGATTCAGAAGAATAAGTTTATTTGAACATCATATGACTTCTAAGTTTTAGTGAGCAAGAGTTTTAGAAGTTTTCACACCTAGGTCAGCAGTGGAGTCACAATAATTATAACTAAATCCAATAAAAAGGAAAGTTACAACATTACTCATCAGACATTTTGCAGGAACGAGGTCAACTGGTGAATGTTTTTCAGCATTTTAGAATGAAAATATTTAATATTTAAGAATGCTTAGATAATTCTTTTTCCCATCCTCAGGTTGGAATCATATACGGTGTTCAAGGAAAACATGTCTCATTATTTCAAGCAAGTAGTGGCAAAGAGGTGGCACGTGGTACAGATCTGACGACCTTGACCTCCTTGACCTTGAGTGCCTCGTTGTCTGGGAAACCAGGTCAGTAGTGCTTCACAGAAATGTACATATATTGTGTATAAGTTATCTAAATTGTTCCAGCTCTGTATGGCTAATAAAGGCACATCAAACATTGTAAAATGTGACAACTTAAAAAAATGTACAAGTCAATTACAAACTGTTTTTGAAAATTTTAAGAATACTTATGTATAATTATCTCTCTAGGAAATAGTTCATCAGAAGCAGTTTGATTATATATATATCTGTCTGTCTATCTTTTTTTTTCAAAGTGTTACAAATAAATTTTCATCCCCAGGTCAAATTGATAACACCCTGGTCAGCAATGGGTCTGGGCCAGCATGTCGTTATGTCAATGTCCAGCTGGTCAGCCTGGAGCCCAGAGGAGGGGTGACCTGTAAAGTAGGAACTGTACTGCTGGAAAACCCACCAAAGGAATACCCTCTGGACACTGCAGGCCTTCTGCACCAGGTAATGCATACTACTAAAAAGAAAACTGTTTTTTTTTTTTTGGAAATAGGCCGTACAGATTTTGAAATGAAAGCAACAGTAGTAGTGAAAACTGTAAATGTTGTTTGGACATTGAAAAATTTTTTTCAACATTATTTGGTTTTCATTTATGATTGTTTATTTCAGAATCTTTAGAAACAGTTTTTATAAAACAAAAGAAGAGTTTCTAGTAAAAACTATATAAAAAAACTGATGTTGTATGTTTTTTTCACCTCTCCACAGGTCCAGGTTCTGTTTGGACTGCAAGGGAAAAAGTTGACATTTTACTGCACAAAGGACAAGCAGGATCCAGTAACAGAGATGTCAAATCTTGCTTCTCTACATTCAAAAACTTTATATGTATTTGGATGAAATAAACAGGAATGACACCGTGAATGACATATGTAGAATGTTTGCCACTTTTGTGATGAATAAGAAACACTACCTGCACACCAACACTAGATTTTTTTTCATTTTAGGTAAAAAAACAAAATGAGAAATCAATGTCAAACGACGCAAATTTGTGAAAAAATGTTTAAGTTTGTGTTATTATTCAGCATACCCACCAAAAAAGTAGGTAGGGGGCTCAATCATGAAATCACAAATGGACAATTTGATATGCTGATGGGAATCATACATGCCAAATATAAGTTACCAAATGACAATTGCAGGTGTTGACAGGAAAAAGTGTGAAGATCTGAGTAATGATACGATGTTCTGTTGAAACTAATGAAATTGTGAAGCCACTGTAAGAAATGATGTCAAAATAAACTATGAGAAACCTTGAAACATTTGAAAGCGATCTTTTTAGCTGTTGGGTTTACTCAATTGTAATATTTTACAACAATTATGTCTCAAGTGGACGGCGGAATGATTAACAGTTTCGTTAATTTAATTCATCTTCCTGTCGCCATGAATTCTACACTAACTGCGGTGTTGTTACTGGGGATGAAGTATTACAATGGTGTAATTGTGTTGTATTGATCCATTAAAGACAACATCAATATCATTAGAGCAAAGTGAACTTAGTAAATAATACACAGAGGAACTCCATGGTGCCAAACGACCTGGTGATATTTAACTGAAAGCTGCAGTCTGTCAGCTCGTGTCTTACACGACATGCAGTGCCCTCTATCGATTGTTTTCACTTGATCTCACAAGCCGTTTCTGCAGCGATGATTCCAAGCGGTTTAGACTTTCATGCAACACGGTCGCTTCCCTTATCTTTTTTGTCCAATCATTGATGGCTCATATTAATGTTATCCATCCTAATTCTACAGTTACTTTGCAACTTTTAAAGCATGGTACTCGATTTGTACACAAAGATGAAATATAATGATTTCTGCACTCTTTCTGCTTTATGATCGAAGCAAACTCCTTTGCGTTACGTGAACTTTTCTGAAGACTTATATAAATACTTTGCAGAGAGGGTTCTTCGTAAATTCATATGACTGTCGTTGCCATGGGTATAACCGACCTTAAAGTGTCCTTGACACTTCGTTCGGCGTAAGATGCACTGACAAGTATATGCATTTTTATAATATGCAACGTTCGGACAGACAGCATTTGCGGAAATGCAAGAGGCTTAGAAGTGAGGTTATACAGTTCCACTATATTTGAAATTTTCTTGTTCATTGATTTTTGAATAGGAAATGTCACGGAATCTAAGTCGTAATTCTATACGGAAATGGGGGGGGGGGGGGGGTAGTTGCATGATGATTTTGGAAAGAAAAGATTGTAATGCCCCTTTTAATTATCCGGCACGACTTCTTATTCGTATTGATTAGTTAATGCATTTGGGTGGGGGAATTAATCAAAATTGATATTTTCACGGAGTTTGACTTGATATTATGTTTAATTGAAAAAAAGAATGTAAAACTCGAAATATCGATTTTTTCACTCAGAGAGACTTCCCGTGGCCTGCTGGTCACTTAAAATCACCATTAGTGGACGGAAACATTGTAAATGATGTTTGTGTACTGGACAGGTTTGATATAAACCTATTGTCGATACTATGGTTTAAACAAAGCACCTACCGCCACAATTTCCAGGACTAATGATGGCATGATGGCCTAAAATGCCATCGTCTGTGAAAACATATCGGAATAAACTGACCGCTTTAACTCGGACTTTTCTTTTAGCTGCACTTCCAACATTTTGGCAATAGACTTTTTCGTCGTTGTTGTTCCAGTTAGGCGTGTATCACCGTCCATAGGCCTGTAAAGGGAAAAATGACCAACCTGTTTGTTATTGGAATCACCATCGTTGCATTGCCACTAGCATCAGCCGAAGTTATCAACACGTGCCAAGCTCTGCCTTCCCCGACACACATGGACGTGAAGCAAGTGTCTTCAGACTACGATGTCACTACCGTCCTTGCCACGACGGAAGCACGCAGCAACACAGAGTGTATCATCCAGTGTAAAAACACGCCATATTGTATCTCTGTATTTTACAACAGCCAATCCAAGATTTGCTCCATGTTTGATGAAATACGGTACTCGTCAGCGCTTGGGGAAACGGGTTCTATGTCGGTCGGACTGCTAACCAATGTTGTTCCGAAAGCTGTAAGTATATTGCTATCAATCTTGTTTTATCCATATAAGTTTATATATGTTTATGTTCTTATATACCGCATTACGTGTCAGTACGGTTTACTGCATATCACAGTGTTCCTGGATAACATTCTTTGGACGTCATTCAGCCTATCTGGAGACGTACATAGTCTCCTGGGGGGGTATAGCTTAACTACCTTTACTGCTGGGTGACAACGACAAACGAGGAGGCAGCAGGTTAATGATCAAATCAACGAATATATCTAAAGGCGGACACCCTTAACACCCTTAACACAAGGCCATCCTACCGATGGTAATCCGCTGAGAGAGAGAGAGAGAGAGAGAGAGGCAGGCCATGAAGGTTCATGTACATACTGTTATTTAGAAATTTGTTGAAAAATGTTATAAAAACAATTATTAACAGTTATGTTTCCCTGTCAGGGTATTTATTAGTATTTAATTTAGTTAAATTATTTCCTTACAGACTGATCTTGATCTCGAGAGTAATCTGACAGTTTGTAATGGCTCCCCGTGCCTCGTACCTGGCCGATGTAGAGAAGACTGTGATCTTAATGAACCTTTTTGTCTGGGTGAGTGTTCATTTATTTATTTATTTTTTGTCAGCGTTAGACAGTTATATTGAGACAACAACAGTTTCCTCCCAAACGTTACCAATGTCATCAACGTTTTAACAAGTTACAGGCACATAATTCTTTGTTATTTTGAAGGTGTGAAATGCGTTTTTAGAATCACTGTGTTTTAGTCTTATTATCATTTCATTTGTCAAACTCACGAATTTTATTTCCATATATTATGCATAACTGCACTTAAATTCCAAAACATAGAAATACAATGACATTGACGATTAAAAATAATTAAAATTTGACCTTGACAAAACCGTAGAGGCTGCGGAGGCCTTGAATCCGATTTTACACGACCACTGCCTGCCGCCGTCCAGACGCACGAGATTCGCGAGATTTACGATCAGTACACGTGCACCGCACGGACATCGCTTGGCGAGCTCTAACCAAGCCCCAAGCCAAACATCGTTTCCGTTGTTATCACACAAGGAACCATTACCACGTTCACCTTTTGTTTCACGCTGTATTGCGTAAAACCAATAGTGAGCAATTAAATACTAAAGAAAACCATTCATTGTTTTACTGTTCACCTGGTCAATATATATTGTACGTACCATGAGTCGTGCTGGTTGGATAGATTAACATTTTTCTTTACAGTGGGATCGTTCAATCCAGCAAAATGGCCATGCGAGTCTCATACATGTACAAACAAGCACTTTTAAGACTCCTAGGAAAATTAAACCTCTACCTTTTTAGTTTTAAAGAGAACAACATAAAAAACGCATCTAAAATTGTTTTGACACTTAGCTTACCTGTACATGTATATCTTTGGAATGACCATTTGTTTTTCAAGAATTAAAGTGAGTAAAGAAAACTATGAATATCTGAACAATGATTATTTTAGCAAGTTTAAGGCAAAAATTAAACATTTTTTTTAAAAATCTAATAAAATTTTAAAACCCGAAATATTGTAATCTCATAATATATGTAAGTAGTTCTCTGAGTATTGATACATGTAGTCACCACTTAATAATGTGTCCTTAAAACGTGTTCGTAATCTTGGAATCATAACAGAAACATATGCGTTCATTTACCTATTGGATTCGTTACTCTAAGAGTTTTTGGGATACAGCTCATGCAGTGAAAATATTCACATTTCACCTCATTCTAGTCTACTTATTCTAGGGGAATCAACGGACTGTGATGAGACGCCGATGTTCAACATTCAGCAATGGTCAAGTACCTCCCACGTTTCCCACAACACTGGTGTTATCTTTGTAAGCAAACGCCTCTAAAACTCTAATAACATATCTAACTATAAAAGCACTCCGAGAGCGAAGACCTCCGCCAAGGCAGCAAAGTCTCCACCCAATGCCGTTTCACCCCTTAATTTTCATTCTTTAATGATTCATTTTTTGAATTTTGGTATTGATTATTGATTGATTATTTATCCTGATCACCACCAAAAACTAACCCTCTGTTTCTTGGCCCATTTCTGACAGTTCCTGTACATTTCATAAAAATCGGTCCATATATTTTTCTGTAATGTCGCTAACAGACAGATAGATAGACAGACAACTTAACGGAACCAAAAACATAACCTCCTTGGCGGAGGTAATTAATTTGAATTAAGTAAATGCTAACATTTATTGCTGCAGAAACTATTAAATCAAAAATCCGTTTTCCAATAAACCGGTGTTGGCTTCATCTTTAATCTCACTGTACCTTAGAGCACATCCTACAATAAGACAAAAGACGCCAGCGGCTTGTACCTTGTCTGGAGTGGAACGCTGAGAGCAGCTATTAGCTGTTCAGGGTGCTGTACGTCTTGGACCTTCACAATAGATGGCGCTGAATGTTCAAACCCCTCCCCCATTGAGTATGCAGAGTACCACGCCAACCGAAGAGATCGCCATCACCACGTGGAGTGTGAGTTTGTTTTGTTAAAGGGATAATAACTCTTCGTTTTGGCCAAAAAATGAATTTTCCTGGAGTAAACAATTTTTCCCATACTTACCAATGGTTAATGAATCCATTTTTACATTCAAAGTTAGTCACTGTTTTTTTTCTAAAAAGTTTGTTTTTTTGTTAAAATCTCTTAAGAGATTATAACAGAGTATAGCCATCAATGGAGGGCACGTGGTCTGAAGACAAGCTCAGACATCAGAAAGATAGCTATAACTGCTGTTTTTGTCGTAAAACAGAATATATTATATATTTCGGTGAGTTATTCACAATGTTTTTATTGTGAAATATAGACCTCATACGAAGAGTTATTATCCCTTTAAGCTTAATATTTGATTTACATATGATAATATGGGATCATCCTTATAACCTCTGGAAAGAAGGTGTAATTACATTATTGGCTCCGTTAGTTATTGTTTGTCTGTTAGGAATATTTACGCAAGGCCTATAATACAGGTTTCTATTCACACCTATTCATCTTGGGGACGCTCGAGGTACATGTAATTTGACGACCAATGATGACACTCGGATGACAGTGTATTATCTCAAATATAACTTAATTGATTCTGCATCTACGATTTCATTAATACGATTAAATAATAATATTAAGAATTGACTTGCTTTGAGGTTTGTCTTCTCTAAGTGCTTTTGAAGTTTATATTAATTGTTTTTGCAGGTCAAAACTTTGAAAATTTGATGATATATTATGGACGTTGTAATTTCAGTTTTTGGAATCTGCTACGGGATAGGCATGGGGATTAGAACTATTGCCTTAGAATACAAAGACTGTGATGGAACAGTTCACGACAACTATGCAGGTTGGAACGCCAGGTCACAATTTATCATGGC